GTCTTCGCAGAGGCGTGTAAAGTTTGGCTTCAAGATTATATTTGGGTGAAGCTTTGTAATGAAGTGATTTCAGGGTATTCCCGAGAAATGCCGTGCCCGGTCTTGAAGGGCAATTCGACAAACTGTTACCAGGCCAATCTGTAGATTATGGTGTTCCATACGACTATGGTAGTGTTATGCACTATTCGAGCATTGTAGGTCATATTTTTCATTTTCATAGTCGACAAAAGGACCATAAAAAGTCAGTGGACAATTTCACAAGTAAGAGAGTCCCTTCCAGGCATTCTCCAACAATTCTGTGGCAAAGACTGTGCTCCCTCATGAACCACAATATGAACATACCATTGGTAACCGAGTTGAACCAAGTTTTCTGGACTACAAAGAGCTGAACATGGCATATTGCTCAAGTGCGTTTGACATTACAGTTATTTGCACTTGAGGAGGGAATTCAGGGAATGTTCGGGAGAAGGGTTAGAAAGGACCAGTACGGACCATTTACAGGCACAGTCTTCGACAATTTTTGGGCGGGAACGGTCCACTATTATGCTTTGAAAGGTCAATTGAGACTTCGGGGCAGTGCGGATTAACTGGAGGTGCAATCCATGTCAAATTTGGAGACGAGAACGGTCAACGTTCGACCTTTAAGTCCGCCTTTCACATTTTTTCCTCACTGTCCTAGTAAGTGGTGCACCAACGAGGAAGTCACAAAGGTAGACTGCCTCCACCTATTTCTCCGCCCATACGATCAGCGTGGATTGTACCTAAGAAGGCGCGCAAATGGCAAAATGAGAGCAATGGCTTTGGAAATGAAACATGATGCTAAGGTGCCGCTCATACTTCGCGACTTTGAATCGCGCGACTGCTTCCGACCGTGCTCCACAGCTAATGTTTGGCCGGCTGCAACGGTCTGAAGAAGTTTCATAGATTTGCGGTTGCAGCAGTCCACCTATTAGGGGGTAGACTTTCAAAACGCGCAAATGAATCGCGCACGTCGCGAAGTATGAGCGCAGCCCAAAGCGTCCGTCTTACACATGATAAAAGGCCCATTCACTTCGGAGTCCCTTTCCACTGAGGAAGCACACCCACTGGCTCGAGACATTTTTTGCATGTTTCCTGCCTCAGCAGCCGCAGTTTTCTAATTCTCTGCGCTCCGGCCATTTCGCGCCAGAACCACCTTCAAAGTTTCTGGTTGCGGAGAGGAAGAGACCCTCACTTATAAAGCCTTTCACCCTCTGGCGTTACATCCTTTGACGGATGACGGAGTTGGCATGCCTTAGGCAGCAGTGGACACGGGCACTTTGCGCGAGATAAGAGTAACCTTACTAAGTAATCGTCTCCGCTGGCAAAATGGTTTCAGTATACTCTCTAATAGCCCCTGTTCGTACACGAGGTACCTCTAGTTGAGTGTAAGTTTCAGATATCTGTCGAAACACGCTGCCGTGTAAACATGGCGGCTATCCGAATCCGAATGCATGCCAGACCTGTTTGTGTCCAACGGGACTGTGTGGCCGGTACTGCGAACAACTGATGCCTTCGAGTGAGTAATGAAAGTTATGGGAATCATAAATTCCCTTCTTTATAGAATAGCTACTAGGGACCAGATGTTGGATTATAAATCACTATTACTAAAC